CTGACTGCTCTTCTGTCTGGGTTCCTGGCTTTTATCCCCTTTCTCCTGCTCTTCTGGCCTGCTACTCTGGGCGAGCCTGAGTTTCCTCTCCTCACCTAATCCCTTCGGCTGATTGCTCTTCTCTCTGGCTTCCTGGGTTTTAATCCCCTTTCTCCTGCTCTTCCCGCCTGCTACTTTGGGCATCCCTGAGTTGTCTCTCCTCACCTGTAACCCTGGGCTGACATTATGAACACAAATTAATCCATGTTTCAAATGGTCTACAGCTTTGGGGACAACTTTTTTTCCTGAAGAGCCGAGTTAAATGGCTGTTTTGGGCCATCTTTTGGCTACTGGACACAAGCATAATTCGGTTACATCTCTTTTGTTGAGAAATGTAAAAAAAAAAAAACCTGAGACAAGTGAGAAAGATACATTTTCTTTCATTTTTATTGAAAATTGTGATTTGTAAATTATTGGCATCTGTAATCTCTAGAAAGTTCAAACTGGTAAAATTACTCATTAGTCTTCAGAGTATGCTCTGAGTAGGGAATAAACCATTGTTCTTGCTGCTTATCTTAAAGGGAATCCATGACTAAAAGGTGGAAGGAGGAAGGAGATTGGAGTTACACAGTGCTTGATCAGACCTTTGGAACTACTCTATTCATAGACATTAGCCTTCCACTGGATCATCTCCTAAGGCAGGAGAAGTGAGAACAGGTCTGAAAGGTCATGGCAATCACAACAGCATAGGTGGGGTCTTTCAATGCTGAGCTGTGTGTGCCATTGGCCATGGAGGTGAATGCCAAGGTGTCACTTTGCAAGAACCAAACATTTTGATTCTGCTCCTGAAAATGTTTCTGCTAGTGGGGAATGTGCTGACATTGCCCTTCTGAGCATATTCTACAGTTCTATCTGCAAACCTGGTCCAATATGCTCAATGCAAACCCCTTCATTAGGGAAGACTTGCTTTGGGTTAGAAAACACTTCTGGATTCTGCTAGGACCCAGGTTTGCAAATGGTTATTGTTTCATTTGCTTTAGGAAGAAAAGACACTTTGACATTGCCTGCATTTTTCCTTTTCCAGTTGGCCCTCACATTGGGCGTTACTGTGGACAGAAAACACCAGGTCGAATCCGTTCTTCATCGGGCATCCTATCCATGGTTTTTTACACTGACAGTGCAATAGCAAAAGAAGGCTTCTCCGCAAACTACAGTGTCTTGCAGAGCAGTGTCTCTGAAGGTCAGTGCTTATTCATCTTGCAAAGCCCTGTGGTAAATACTCCGTTATTCCTCCTCACACACCTGCGGCCACATGAAACACTAAAGAAGTGTGTTGTGAATTGGGACGCCAACTGTTTGCTTTTCTCTTTTAAAATGGTTTTTTATGAATATCAATAGGATGAACTATTTGGTGTGCTTTCTTAATAAAAATGTGGCTGAAGAAGTTGATTGTGAGCCTCATAGGGGAGAAAAATGGGAAATGATAAGAGTGCTTTGAAACAATAGACTTTGACCAGACCACCTACCTCACTCTTTTAAATGTGAAATAGCCTGAGAATCATTGATCCTGGACAATAAGAACAAATCTACAAGAAGTTCATTAACACAGCAGCCACACATATTGTATAGTGAGTATATGCTAGTTTGGTTTAGTGGGAGACCCTGCAGGAAGCCATTTTTGTTTCTTTTCTAATAGTAATGTATTTTTTGATTCAGGAGCTCTGGTAGCATAGTGCCTAAGGCACTTGACTGCTAACCAGAAAGCTAGAGCTTCAAGCCCACCAGCCACTCCTCTAAAGGAAGGTTGGGCAATCTACTTCCGTAGTGATACTGCCTCAGCAACCCAAAGAGGGGTCGCTATGAGTCGGGTCCAACTCAATGGCACATAACAACAACATTTTTGGATTCTATTAAAATCCTGGATTCAATTAACTCAGCACTTTCTCAAGGTTCATGTGGTCTTCAGTTGTTTTTATGAAAAAAATAGAAAGAACAAAGAGTAAATTGATTATATGTTTCATCAGTTCAAGCTGCCCGGTGGTAAAATAATATCAGGTGAGGACAATGGGATGTTTGGAAGACCTATTCTCTACATATTTTAATATCTTCTCTACCAGATCGTACTGGAAAAAAAAAAAAAAAGGCCAATTAAATTTAAAAATATAATTTGTAATTAATTTGTTGCTTAATTAGTTTATATTTTTGTGCCTATAAATAATTTTAATTTTGAAAATAAAATGTCTAAGCTTAAAAGTACAGAACTATAAAAATCTTATGTATCATGGCACAGAAAATGTAGAAGAGTTGTCATTTTTGTCATTTTGGCTTGTTGACCATTTCTGGATGGTTGAGAATCTTCCACTTAATCTCTAAAGCTTTTAGCTATGTTGGATTAACATTTTCTTAAAATTGATTACTCATTTCCCAATACCATCAAATTGAGTATGCAGGGCCTAATGGAAAACATGTTTTGATGATTGATGGTCATCATTGTGAGCATTATTATTTTATGTTGTAAAGCTGTGGTGCTCTTAGGGGCCATATGATACTGCAGGTTACCCCTAGTGGATATTTTTGTGTTTTAGTGTAATAAACTAATGATGTTAATAATGATGACCAGGCCAGAGAGGTGGCCTTGGTGCCAATCGCAAGGAATCTAAATGGCAGGGAGTTAAGATCTAGTGTCCACCCTATATGAATTGTAAATGAACACAGGCCCTTTTTCAGTTTATATAAGATATGGTAGGAAATCATTTAGTACTAACATTTTATGTAAACACAATTGGTATGTATCCATGTAGCATCTCTGTGTACATTCAACTTTGAAAATAAATCTGTATTTTCATCATTTCCTAATGAATTCCAAATAGTGTTTCTGTTAACCTAGGTCAGTTGGGAAAATAATTAATAACTAGATGATCTTCACAGCCTTATTTTTAAAAACCATTGCGATGAAAATGTAACCATTAGAGCTAAGTTCTAGTAAGTCCCTTGATGTCAGTTTTTAAAGTCAACATCTGGCATTAGTCTGCCAGATTGAAAAATATATATGTCTTATGTCACCTACGCTTTCATGACTTCAGACCTTCCCCCCACCCCCTTCAGATTTCAAATGTATGGAAGCTCTGGGCATGGAATCAGGAGAGATTCATTCTGACCAGATCCTGGCTTCTTCCCAGTATGGTACCAATTGGTCTGCAGAGCGATCCCGCTTGAACTACCCTGAGAATGGGTGGACTCCTGGAGAAGATTCCTATAAAGAGTGGATACAGGTATGTAGCATAAGACTTGGCATGCTTGTGGTGAGAAGATCCTGATGATCTAGAAAACATTGTTTAAAAGAAGCCTCACCGTGCCATATACCCTCAAGAAGAAAAGAAGTTCAGTAGGTAGCAACCACCATGATTGCAGCAGCATCATCAGAGAAAAGCTGGCTGAGGTGACTTACCTGAACATACATTTATATAGATAGGTACATAATATTCTTCTCAGAATATGAGCACAGATATCTCACTGTGGTAACAGTGGAAATGTGGATTTTTTCCAACAATGACACATTTTCTATCAATATGCTTCCTACTTTAGCATAATTTCATTTCCTTGATGAAATACGTTAACCTTATGTGTACATCTGTATGAAATAATTATTTCCAAATATAAGGATTTTTGTTTGTTCAAGGTAGAAGAGGGGAAAGAAAATGTTGCGGTTTATTTTTCCATAAAAATCTATGTGTTATTATTGTATGCCATTGAGTTGATTCTGACTCATAGGGACACTGCAGTACAGAGTAGAACTGCCCCATAGGGTTTCCTAGGCTGAAACTTTATGCGAGCAGATTACCACGCCTTTTCTCCAACAGAGCCGCTGATGGTTTTGAACCACAGACCTTTCAGTTAGCAGCCAAGCACTTAACCATTGCTTGTTCAGGGCTCCTTTCATAGGTCTATATAGCGTACACCAAAGAAGGGGTTTAATTGAGGATGCTGGTCTCTGTCAACTATGTATTCACATACAACTGTGTGCCTATTTGTATTCTGATTCAGAATATTCTGTTCGTTCTTTGCTCTGACACTCCCTTTCCTGCTATAAAACAGTTGGCATTGAGTCAACTCCAATTCAAAGATGTAGTGAAAGGCATGTGAAATTTTTTACTACAGATTAGTAAATAAGCACAAGGAATCCCATGCTTACCTTGTTAATTGGGCAACCCAGCCCTGTCACTGCTAGATATATAAAATAACTAATTCCCAGAGAGAGTTTCTTAGCAAGAAAAACCCGAGATGATTACTCCTCCACTTTCCACATCTATTGCTGTTTCAGTCTTTTGAGCACAAATACCAGATTTCATTTGACTTTGGAAAGGTCAATATTAGTTTAACATACACTTAAAGTGAAATGGCCTATTACAGGGGACTGAACTCATGCTAACCTCTAAACGATAACATTGAGAAATGTGTAGAAGGTGAGAAAAGATGAGACTTTTACCTTGGGATTGCTGAATCCAGCTCAAGATTAAGTCAAAGATGAAATGAATTTGCCATTGTCAAAATAGCTCTTGGTAACTTGTTTTTCCACGTCTCCAAACCAACAGGCAGTTCAGTTTGATTGACAGACATGCCTCTAGAGGAAAGCTTACATTGTGTAGTGCTAAGCATATTTGAATGGTAATGTAGTCCTATTCTTGGTAATGTGTGGAGTGCTCAATAATTTAGGGGCAGTGGTCTTGCAAGTGTTCTGAAATTGCAACTGTAGCAATTCTTCTGTCCAAGGCAATTTAGGTCAATAGAAACATGGAGACTAACTGGAGTCTCACAAAGCATTTGTCATCATGACAGGATTTTCATCATTCTTAAGAGTTGAGCATAATTTGAGATGGCCTCAGGAGAAAAAAATCTAGGATTATCCAACTCTTTCTATCAATGATGAAGCATGGTCAGGATAAGCTAGGTGACCAAAACCTCTAAACAAGATTTACATTTTGTTCATGCTACTTGCTGTCTCTGATAGGCTGAGACCCAAGCTGAGGGAGCAGCCATCATCTAAAATGTTGCCATCACCAAGGCAGAGGGAGAAAGAGAGAGTGGCAAATCATGAATTGGCTCTTAAAGTTCCCTCTCAGACACTTCACCCCATGTTGGATTGGCCAGAGCAAATCACGTGACCACACCTAACTTCCAAAGGGCAGTTGTTGTTATTGCCAGCTGCTCTTGCATAGCCCCAATTCTTAGCACCCCAACGCAATGGAAGAGATACTGCTCTGATCCTGTGCCATCTCCATAATTGGTTACAGATCAGATGACTGTGACCCTTAGGGTTTTTATTGGCTGATTTTCAGAAGTAGTTCACCACACCTTTCTTCCTAGTCTGTCTTAATTTGGAAGTTCCCCTAAAACCTATTCAGCAGCACAGCAACATACAAGCTTCCATTGTTAGACAGATGGTGGTTGCACATGAGGTGCATTGGCTAGGCAATGAATTCAGGTCTCCCACATGGAAGGGGAGAAGTCTACCACTGAGCCAACAGGCAATAAACCAAACCAAACCCATTGCCAATGAGTTTATTCCAACTCATAGTGATCCAATAGGGCAGAGTAGAACTGCCCCACCAGGTTTCCAAGACTATAATCTTTATAGAAGTAAACTTCCACATCTTTCTTCCATGGAGCAACTGGTCACTGACCTTTCAGTTGGTAGCTGAGCACTTAACAACTGTTCTTTAAGATGAAATACCAAAAACCAAACTCATTGCCATTGAGTCGTTTCCAACTCATAGCAACCCCTATTGGGCTTCCAAGGCTGTAAATCTTTATGGAAATAGATAGCCCCATCTTCCTTCCACAGGGCAGCTCGTGGGTTTGAACCGCTGACCTCCTGGGTTAGCAGTCAAGTCTCTCATCCACTATGCCACCAGAGCTCCTCTAAGGGAAAATGTTGTTGTTATGTGCCGTCGATTTGAACCCTACTCATAGTGACCCCTCCTTGGGTTTCTGATGCAGTATCACTACGCAAGTAGATTGCCCAACCTTCCTTCCGAGGAGTGGCTGGTGAGGTTGAACCACCAGCCTTCTGGTTAGCAGTCAAATGCCTTAGGCACTACGCTACCAGAGCTCTTAAGGGAAAATAGAGAGATGCAATTTAGCATGTGCTGGAGAGAGGAGAGCTATAACTACTTGGTGATCAGCATGAGTGACAATTATGCCACTAATGGAATGGTTAAGGAGCTCTAGTGGTGTAGTGGTTAAGGCATTTGGCTGCCAACCGAAAGGCCAGTGGTTCAAACACACCAGCCCGCTCCACGTCTGCTTTTGTAAAGATTTACAGCCTTGGAAACCTAATGGGGGTCATTATGAGTCAGAATCAACTCAGTGGCAATGAGGTTTTTTGAGTAATAGAATAGTTATAGTTTATTGAGTGCTTACTGTGTGGCCTGATCTATGCTAAGTACTTTACAGATTTCTTATTTAAACCTCACAGCAGTCCCCATTTCAATGCTGGGAGGTACAATTATCTCCATTTAAAAACTGGGAACATTGATGTTCAGAGAGATTAGAAGCACACTCAAGGTCACAGTAAGTGACCTGGCTTGGAACCAAGGTGGGTTTGACTCCAAACAAAGCCTTCCTTTTTATACTTCATTATGCTGTATCTTTATTATTCATGACCATTCATATAAATTCAAGTATAGCTTATAAAGCATCAGTCACCTCCTTTCAAAGTTTTCCCCATGCTGAGAAGGCTCATGCTGAGACGAGTGGGTTGCTGACTATTCCTAAACCTAGAACGTAGGGTCCTTGCTCCTGAATCTCTTTGAAAGGTGAATGTCAGAGAAGCTCAGCATCAGGTTCACCTTGAGGTAAAAATTGTCTTTTTATTTTTTTCGGAGTTTAGTGGGCTCATTTACATGCTTGTTGCATCTGACTACTTGGTGAGAGCTGTTTTCATCCACCAATCACCTAATTATGAATAATTTTGTGTGTTTCCAGCATTTCTGAAACTCCTTCGAAGTGGTTGGCTTGTTTTCATTGGCTGGATGTATCAGAAATTAACTAACAAATACAGCATAATTTAGACTGAGGGCAAGAGGCACCTATCTCTAATCACAGAAACATTAACACACATACATTTCCATTATTATGCACTTAAGTATTTGGTGACCATTTGTTTTCTTTTTCCAGCTTTTTCACATTTTGCATGAGATATGCTCCCCAAAACCTATTGCTGTGGTAACAGTAAGAACAAATACTCTCATGTGTTAAATTAATAAGGCCATATTGGATGCTGACTTCCCTTCAAGACAAGAAAAGTCTTTGGACTCCCATTGTTTTGTCTAGGAAATTACTGAGTGACATAAAAAAACAATGCATCATTAACCATTGATATGAATGTCCACATTGGTGTTTCCTGTGAGATCTGTTGTCTGCCAGAATACTTAAAAACAAGTCAAGGAGCAGTTTAATGAGAAGGAGCACAAAGGGAAGTTCCGTTTTGGAGGGTTTGCACACAGTTGTATCCTGCTCAAAAGGCCACTCATATCCTGAGTTGCTAAAACCTCTTAATTGTCAATGACAGGGTTTGTCATACTTTGAAATTTACCCATTTTTTCACAGTATTCCATTCTGTGTTGTGTGTCCTGGAGATGCTTATCTTAGTATCACTTTAACCTTTTTTCTTCCTTTGCTTCTTGTTAAACAATCAGGGATTCAAAGTAAAGATTCAATGTATCCGTGGTTCTGGTTACTGGTTTGAACCTACCCAGAAGCATCTTAGGAACTCTGGTGGTGTAGTGCCTAAGGCATTTGATTGCTAACCATAAGGCTGGCAGTTCAAACCAACCAGCCACTCCTTGGAAGGAAGGTTGGGCAATCTACTTCCATAGAGATACTTGGAAACCTAAGGACCGGTTGCTATGAGTTTCCGACTCCACAGCAGTGAGTGAAAGGCATCTTGGAAGACAGAACTGGCAATCTGTGTCCAAAATGTCACAGCCTTGAAAACTCTGTGGAGTGGTTCTACTCTACACACATGGGGTGCCCCAAACCCACCCCACTGCCATAGAGTTGAATCCGACTCATAGCGACTCCTTGGGTTTCTGAGGCAGTATCACTACGGAAGTAGATTGCCCAACCTTCCTTCTGAGGAGTGGCTAGTGGGTTTGAACCACCAGCCTTCTGGTGAGCAGTCAAATGCTGTAGGCACTACACTACCAGAGCTCCTATGGGGTGCCCGGGAAGTGGAACTATCTCCAAGGCAACAGACAACAGCAATGTAAAA